GAGGAGGAGAGAGTGTAGGTAGATGCTACGCAAGTCTACCGGCACTATAAACCCCTGCGTAAGTCACCGTCCCTGCTCCCATTGCTGCCGCAACTGTGGGGCACACGGTGGACATCATCGAAACCGATGGTCGAACTGTCATGTCAGAGTCTGGATTCGATATCTGATTTCTACGAAGGCGCCGATCAGCTGGCGGTCAGAGTAAAAATCAGATGGTTTGGTCGATCTAACGCCGGTCCTAACTCTGATGCGCTACTCTACTGTGTAAAATTTTGTCAGAAACTTTCCCAGCACAAACTCACAGGAACCTGTGGCCTTTGTCCACACGTGTTAACACCGAACTGTCCTCTCTTCAGGTTGAAGATAATGGACTTCACAAGTATCTCCCGGGGCCCTCTTTACTGCCAGACACACGTCTCATTCCATGTATGATGGAAGCTAGCATAGCGTTCTTCTCTACTTGGAATTGCTTCTCTGCCTCGCCGGGAGTCTTCAGACGCGGAATTTGTTTGATTCAGTCATCCAGGATCGTTTATTTTGCCTTAGAATCCACTGGGACATTCCGCAGGCTTTGCATGATTTTTTAATCTCGAATAAGAGCAGCATAGCTTCTTTTCTGCGTCGAATAGTCACATACCACCCAACCTATTGCTCAGCTGCTGCTGCTGGAGGAGGAGGAGGGGGAGGAGGAGGAGGAGGAAGGTGTCACCAGAAGAATAGGCGATTAGACGCATTTTCAGTATTTGCATGCGTTAAGAGCTTCGTTCCTCTATGTGGATGAGGGCATCATCATGGTTACGTGGCCGTATTTTCGTTATGAGGCCTTCAAGTCGCCACAATGCTGACCCAGCGGGTAGAACTGCTGTCGGCCAGCTGTCAAGATGGTATGGTCGATAACACAAAGGTCCCCAAATCAGAAGTCAGGGAAGGCAGATTGCGTTGGACAACTTTACTGACGTGTAAGAGGCTCCGCGAACAGCTGCCCCAGGCTATCTCTCCAGGCAAGTAGTTCTTCCGTGTCCGCAAATCAGATTGCGTTGGACAACTTTACTGACGTTTAAGACCGTGCCAGAGGCTCTGCAAGCAGTTGTACCAGGCTGTCTCTCCAGACGAGTAGTTTTTTCCGTGTCCGCCGTTGAGGTTGTTGTGCGCCGTCCGTCAGCTAATCAGAGAAGGGGCAGCGTTGATTGGTTTCGAGCTCTCGCGAGGGTAATGACAAGCCTCGCGCGATCCCAACAGCTGGTCGACAGGGAGCGTGAGGCGGACAGAAAGGTAGTGAGGAAAAGCGCGGAATGCCACAGTACCCCCAGGCTAGACCAGGGGCGGCGCGGAGTGGTGCCGAGCGAAATGTCCATGTCTAAAAATATGAGTAATCAAACGGCCAGGAAAACGAGCATGGCGTCCACTACGGGTGATATGTACAGGGGGCAGAGGGAAGGGTGTTTATGTCTTGCGGCTACGGCGGTGGAGGTTGATGAGGAGGCAGTTGCAGTTGGGAGAAACGGCTATGGGGGAAGAGGGAGGATACGGGACGGAGCGATAGAGGGTCGAGGAGATGGGGCAGGGGGTATGGAACCAGAGGGCTCATCCGGAAGAGTGTTTGGGAAATCAGCTCGGAGACGATCCATGCTCACGATCTCCTCGCGAGTTCCGCGTTGGATGCGGAAGTTCATTGTCCTACGAGAGGTAACTCGGAAGGGGCCGTCGTAGGATGGTTTCAGTGGCTGGCGGACCTGACGTCGCCAGCACGTCGCCAAGTTTTTCTCGAGGTAAGACTTGGAAACAGATGGTCTGGGCGGAACCGGGGAGTGTCCACATCAGTTCCGAAGACGGCGCAGGAGGTTGGTGGGATCTTCGACCTCATCTCGATGGATGGCGGGATCATCTCACCAGGAAGTCGGACAGTGGTGCCGAGCACCAGTTCAGAGGCGGAGCAGTCAAAGTCCGGCTTGAGAGAGGAGCGGACGCCCAACAGGACCAGGGGAAGGTGGGCCTTCCAGTTATCCGGATCGTCTGTGACACGTAGGGATGCCTTTAACTGACAGAGAAACCGCTCGACCATCTGGTTGGCCGCCGGATGATAGGCTGCAGTGCGGATGCGAGTACAATCTAAAAGGAGAAAGGAGACTCCAAGAGGTCAGATTCAAACTGAGCACCATGATCAATCGTAATTTTGGAGGGGTGAGGCCCATGGACTTTCAGATTCATGGATGATGCCCCCCTGAAGCATGTGCTCGAACTCTGCCTTGGCGGCAGCAAGACGTGCAGACGCGAGGCGGCGAGAATAAGCAGGTGGCGATTGGCGAGGTGTTGGCGGCCTGAAGGAAGAGACTGGGATTAGGGCACCAACGACCGCCTGCGGTGCGAGGAATGGCACTCAGCTGCGCACCAGTATTGACCAAGAGACGCCTGCCACTCCAGTTGTCGCGGACGTAATATGTGCGACCGGGGTTAGGGTTTCCACGAAGAGTTGTCGCACTGATCTTTGGGCTGACCCGTTTATTCTCTTTAGAGATGAAAGAGCAGGGGTAGATGTAGCAACAGGCTTAAGCACCAAAGGTGGTGTGATACCAGCAGGTGGCGGCAGTGTTGGAACGAGTTGAATGTGTAAACTAGACATGCCGGTTAGATGGCCTTGGTGAACTCTGGGATGATAAAGGAGCTGGCTGCTACCAGTAGAAGCGAATAACTGGCGGTTCTCGAAGAGAAGTCATATTTTGGGCAATTTTTGCAATCACAGACTTCAGGTTGGAGAGAGGAGACAGGAGAAATTGAGGAAGTTGAGAGAGCGGAGAGCCATGGCTTGGAAAAACCGTGCATCTCCATAAGCCGTTCGGCCAGCTGAGTAAAGTGTGCAGCCGAAAGAATACCAGAAGCAGGTACCAAAATAAGCAGCACTTTCGGTGGATAGTTGTCATTGGTGACGCCTGACTATATCGTAGATTGGGAAGAAGGAAGGTTAACGTTCGCAAGGGGTCACCATATGTCGATGATAGTGTGGTATAGTCGACGGCAGCATTTCCTCGTCCATAAGTGTCGTTTCCCGTCAGTTGGCAGCCTTCCAAGTCAGGACGTTTAGTGCGCCGTAATCTATTTAAGCGCGTCATATGGTTTATATTGAAGAATAGGCACTGAGAGTCGACCTCACCCTCTCTTTCCTCTCACTTGCACCAGTCGACTGTCCGAACTGGTTATCCAGTTGAGGCTGAGATTGGGCGCAGCAATTGGCGGAGTCGAAACAGCCCGCCTGCGTGCACCACACAACCTGACCCCAACAAACACCGAAATTTCACACAAAGGGAGTGGACTGCCCGGTTCTCACAAGCGTAAGGGTACAGCATAGGCCAGATAAGGAGGGGACCAAGAATAATCCTTCCACTTCGTGAGAAGTGCCGGTTCCGTGTTTGTTAGTGGATGACGACGGATGGATTTGTATGTGACATGTGCTGCTGAGGAGGTATGTGGTGATGAATGTCAATTTTATTCACCAGCCGGTCTTACCTATTACTCTTAGTACTTAGGGCTCATGTAATATCACTCGTTAGTCCTTGAGAACATGATCATTTACGTCATTCTTACCGGTAGTGGAGATTGAAGGGGTGGTAGTCGTCGAGGGAGTTGTGGGAGGGATGGTAGAGGTGACGGGTGTCGACGACGCTGGCTGAGGCGTCGAGGCATCAGGAGTGTGATCACGGATGGTGGCCGTGATAGTGGTCGCCGCAGAAGGTGGTGCGGGGGTGACGATGGGGGAGTGTTTCTGGAGGCGGCAGATGGAATTGTGAGGGTGATGTTGCTCTGGGTCCAGAGATGCCCGACGAGGTCTTTCTGTACGCGTAATGTTCGCTGGTAGCGTGGGTATGTTGGAAGGATTTGGGTGTTTACATTGTGGTCTGGAGGCACCTTACCCATGTGAGCCACTCTTTTTGGCTTTAGGATCGGCTATCCGTCAGTCTTCACTGTTTTTCTCTTCTCCGATCGATCCCGAACGAGGTCCTCCCAGGTCTCGGGGTTGATTTGTCAATGCTTGAACAAGGTCTTCAGGATGTCCTTATGGCGTCTTTCTTGTCCTTGTCGGCGAGCACCAGTAGCGACGTCACCATAGAAGAGCGCCTTGGATAGACGGCCGTCGTACACTCTTGACAGATGGCCGTTCCAGTTCAGTTAAATTTGCCTCAACATGGTGTGAATGCTGAAGATTTCGGTCCGTTGCAAGAATTCTGTGTCGGAAAACCTGTCCGGCCACCTTAGCTGAGGCGGAAGTGGTTGTGTTTCCAAGCTTGATTGGTATAGACGGTTTAGATCACCGTCCCGTTTGGTAGCGCTGCGCAGAGTTAGGGACTATCCATCTTTTAGGTCTGTAGTCTGAGTTTACCGCCATTATGGCGGTAGCACACCACTTCCTTACTTTCGTTTTTCAATGCTTTGATGCCGTTTGTAAATGCGCAATAACTGCTTGCCCTTTCCGTGCTTTATGCATGTTTTGTCACCCCAATTTCATCGATTTGTTATTTTTTCACCTTTCCCGTTTCTCCATGTTTTATTGGTTCTAGCTCGCTTCTCACATCCCAGTTTCTGGTTCTTTTGTTATCAGCACTTTTCTGCAGTCGAAGTATTGACGTCCGGGTCGCGCTGTTTTAGCAGTTGTTGGTTTTCCATCCGTTAGCTGCCCTGCTCCTAGCCGCCCTTTTCTAGATCTCTTCTGAGTACTACGCCGTCCATCTTTGGTGTCATACTCGTGCGCATCCTCGCAGAAAGCAGCAGGATACCCTGTAGTTCCTGATTTTCTGACAAACTCCTACGTTTATACCTCTGTCTTATATCTGAATTGCGGGCTCGTTTATCGGGACTAACATCTGAGTTGAAATTTTTTGACAATGTGCAAGTAAGATGCTGCTGCTGTTCTAAGTTCAACTGGTAAGATTTTTTGTTCATCTGGACAACCGTTGGACGTGGTTTTCAATTGCTTATACAAAGATTGAATTACAGACTTAATCAACCTTGGAAAACCGAAAAGGTAACGCGGTAATCATTGGGGTCCAAGGAGCATTCGTCGCCGTAATTTGCCACAGTTTTTATTGGTGGACAGGGTTCCACGTGTAGTCTACAGGCAGTTGCTCTCGTCTAACGCTTTCTATGCTATCCGAACTTGTTTATCTGCGTGCCCGGAAGCCCTGGTTAATTGGAACAGACTTTTACGTCGAAAGCAATTCTTACGGTATGTGCATAATCTGAAGGATTTACACATGCATAGGCTGTCTAATAGCAGGACGAATTTGTCTATTGGGCTTTATTTCTACGTAGCGAGTAAAGTGTCTCTTTGATAGACATCATCTGTCGTTTCCGCACCAGCCGTCCTTATAATTTGGGTCCAAGACCAGCTTTAAGGTTCCAGTCCTGTGTTTTTGGCTGTTTTCAGTGCCCACATACTCAGTGCAAAAGAGATTCCCAATTTATCAGCGGTATGCGTTGATACCCTCCGCGTGCATTTTAGCAATTTTCCGTGTTGAAGTTCGAGGGGTCATTTTTACTAGCCCATTTTCAATAGTTTTTCTGACCCTTGAACCTTAAGTGTTGATAAAAAGACAGGTTATGGTGAACCGACTTTATTATTTTCTTGCTTCACTAATTCCGGGCTTCGGGATGCCCTGAAGGGTGTATATATCCAAATGTTTAATCTCTTATTAACCTATATGATATTTTCTTCTGCAAACTGAATTTGAAGACGTCACAAAAAGATTTTTGCAAATATTTCCTGCCATTAGGAGAATTAATTTTTACAAGTTGGAAAATCGTGATTGCCTAGGCTTTGAGAAACCGTTCTCTCTGGTTTGCGATGTCTCGGCGAAATATCGGCGTAGGTGAGGGTCGCATCATATAAGACGCAGGCGCACCGTCAGTCAGAAGGTTCACAGGGCTTCCAGGCAAAATCGTTTGCCGCTGAAAACAAAACCATCTTCCAGGAGATACGACCGGCCACAGGAATAAAACAGAGATTGTGATATCAAACTTCAGCTAAAAACATGCGACTCCGCCAACTTTACTAGGAGAATTCACTGACTACTTTTTTAATCAGGAGATTGAGACGTATACACCCACTGGAATCGTTGTAAGTGGCTATTTATCCTAAAGAGCATCAACAGAACCCTCCGCCTCTACCGTTAACTGAGTCGCTTGACTGCCGTATGTTGAAAGGGCAAACAGCGCGCAACAAATTCGCCAAATTATGCCATCAAACCATATCGGCATGCCTATGGTCTCATAATCTGAAAATTGGTTAAGTAAGGAAAAAACGCAATGTCGTGCGTACTTCGAAGAGCACGACAACCTTGAATATCGAACTACGAATTTAAGGAGGAACGAAAGACCTTTTTAGGAGAATGTGAGCCCTCTGCCACACAGCCATGGCGGTTTAAAAGTGCTTGTTTAACAACCTGACTTCCTGGCGGCGAATTCCAGGAAGGGAAACTATCCTCCTGCCCTAACCCTAATCTCCCTGGACTGACGCGCAAAGCCGCCTGTGTTACGAGGACGGAGTTTCTTTTCCCGTGTCCCACCCATTACTTGCAACTTTGGCTTCTGATGTGCTAACTGTCGAACTGCATACTTCTTGGAGGACAGGAAATGAATCTCCCACAAATAAAACTAGAACGGAAAAGCACCCACTGCAAGCCAGAGCAACCTTTCCGAGGTGAATTGGAACCGGATATTCCTCTAAATAGTATAAGGTTCTGATTTTCCGACCAGATGAGCCTATGTTTCAGACGGGTACTGTCACCAGCTCTCGAATCAGACGAGGTCCATGGGACAAAAGTCTACCGTTTTGATCGGCAGACTACGCATGCCATTTGAACGGCAACAACGCTTCTTGCAGTATATCGCGCTTAATCATTTGCATGAAACTAGTTTGTCCCAAGAATCAGCTCATTTTAGCGAGCCTCCATTCCGGATATTCTAATCAGCTTTTATATTGTGAGTTAGGAGTTAAGTTTGAGCTCCACGAGGTTCACGCTGACATAGTCAATAGGCTCAATAGTAAGTTGAGGGGTACCAAAATATGGCGCGTCCTCATCAGCCTTTTACCTTAAAATAACGGACCTTTCCCATGTCGGATAAGCCGTTATTGGAATGTAGCCCGAGGCCTCCAACAAGAACGATTTACCAGAGGTCTAGATGTAGACAGTTAAGGAAGGATTTTTGCTTATTATTCGATTAGATGATGATGCCATGTTTGTCCCATTGCTATTCAGTCGTTGGCTTGTGCTCATGACTTGAAACTGGAGAATATACTCTACTCTTTTCCCGAAAAATCCTTCCCTAACATGTCATCGCAGCTGGCATGCGGAGTTCCTAGGAGGATGATGTAACACTGCGAGGGAAGTAGGGCAAAAATGCAATCAGTGGCGGCATATAAGTCCTCCTTCCAGTAAGGCTTCATCAGTGGTTGTTCATCACCTACAACTTCTGAAATTAAAACACCGGAGAACTCACTTACGCGATTGGCGTAAGCCGAGTGCAATCTGTTCCTCTCAGACAGCCGGTTTTTTCGTCGTTGTCGGTGAACAAATCCTGATGCTGGCGGCGTGCGCGACCAAGTACGTACATGGCGGTGGAGATCTATTAGTTCGTACGCGTTTACACGATATCAACCACCCGAATATCCCCCAGCACCCAAATTCACATCGTTCCCATACAGCCACTGCGTGGATTTTTCCGTTCACAGGTACGCACATTAGGGTCAGCCACGTCCTCCTACGTAAAAAGGACGAGTGTTTATAAACAATGAAGATGACGGTCGAACTGCTGTCTGATTTTACAAGCGTCCTTCCCACATGAGGGGGGGGGGACTGCGCGTCGATCCAGACGCCGCTGCGTCCAATTTCGTCCATAATCTGCTGACAGGCTCGGAAAGATCAGCTGTGCAGGGCAGAGGAGGGGGATATTGCGATTAAACCCCGGGAATCCTTCTTTAAGGGAGAGAGAGCTCAGGCCTCACTTTAATAAGTTTAACACGTTTGAATCAATAACAGTGGTCGTTTGGGTGGCTGCCAGAAAACGGGATAACTCGGTCTGGCTTAGTACTGAGGGTCAGGTTGCGATAGCTCCTTACTGTGGCCCTTGCGCACTCCCCGACGCCTGCTTTTTGAGGCCCGCACGTATTGTTTTGGCGGTCAGGTTGTGACTAACTGTTTAGCTTTGTCGGCCACGGTGTTTCTTCATCGGAATACGGTGGATATGGGAGAAGGGCGTGAAGCAGATGCAATGCGAGTCTGTCGCGCTATGAGCAAATTCGGCGACAAATAGCGCCGACTTGATGGGTGCCGAAGTGAACCTCGTCGATTGTAATGTTGGGCCATCGTTACGCCCAAAAATCGGCGGTTTGGGGTCGTCAACGGTCCAGATAACTCACTCCAATTAGGCGAACGCAATGATTCAATCTTCTTCTATTTGGTCCTTTATCAACTAGCGTCAACATGATACCAAAGTGAAGGAATTCTAGTTCATGCTGAATGATTGGCTAACGTGTGTGTGACACGCGCCGCTGACAAGGGAAACCACTCGATCTTGTGTTGCACCCATGCGCCCCTCCCTACCTTTTGCCCTTCTCTCCTCATTTAAATACGATAAACGTGGGAAAGAAATGCGCTATAGACAGGAAGCAAATCCCCATCAATGGGAAGATCCATGCGTGAGTCGCCACTGCTTCTCAAACAGAAGTGTTGGCCCTCACTGAGTGCGTCTTTTACACCGTATCCGGAAACGAAGCAAGAATAGCAAAGTTCACAGAGTCCGGCTAGACGGTGGAGGACAGCTCTCGCCCAGTTCGTCTCCTGATTGGCCGAGTGCGTCACTGTCAGCGGGTCTACGCTGCGAGTACCCAGCGTGTTTTCCCCCATTAGCTCACCGAGTAAGACCAGAACACATATGGGGTCAGCTGCAGTTACTTGAGCCTCATTCGGCTTCAGAAAGAATGTCTTATTTCGAAAACTTAGTAATACCTTGGGGACAAACAAACGTCCCAGTACCCATTTCAGCTCCCCCATATTTGTCTATTAAAAGCAATATGCTTTGGAGGGTACTCGTGTACATAAATTTGCCTAGTTAGACAGAATGTTATTCTCCACAAGAAAGGTCAAACAAAGGTCAGACAAAACTGAAGACACTAAATTTGAAGGCGAAAGACTCTCCCCCATAATATGTACTCCAACATTCGGTATCTTTTGCAAACTGAAGGTGCTTATTTTATCTTCACTGAACAACAACGACCACGTGAGCTACGACGCAGCAAACCACCGAACATGCGTCGCAGGTGCATCTAAATCGAAAGAATGTCAAACCCCAACCAACCCATTGGTAAATTGCTGGTTTGCCGACAGCCCGCACTCGAACTCCCATCGAAAGTTATTATGGCCAAGTTCTCCTCAGGAATATATTTTCGTCCACCAGTGGTCTCGTCTAGTGTTTCTAAAACCACAAAATAAGGGATTCTCTGGAGCTTTTGTATACTCTCCCTTGAACTTACGTAGCAGCTCGCGCGATTTGTCCCGACATTTAGGAGCAATTTGGCATGCCTGTACCAGGCTGACAAGGAGCGGACTCGCTCCGCCCATACAGAGCATCGGCTTTGCCATAACGCGTCTTCCTATACGGCGACCATGGAGACTTCGCAGACAGCAATAGTGTTTGCAGCGACTGTGAAGATCGTCATAAACTACCATCTCCAGCACTATATTTCCGAATTTTAACATATGGAGCTCAACGGAGACTTTACTTCCATACCATGTGCCTCGCAGCTTGGCTGGCGGCTTGCACGTGTACACGTTATAGTGCCGGTGAACTTGCACAGAACCTACTGCAATTTCTCCTGCCCCCCCCCCCCCATCCTTTTAGGTCGAGTGTCAAGACGGGAGGCGGGATCGCACGTAGTGGCAAAAATCCCGTCTGCGCGTGTCATACAAACACCTGGTCCGCGCACGATGGATCCGGCCTGCACGGAGACCAGGGACGGCTCGGGTCTTATCTAAGTGCGAATGCCATGGAGGCGACAAGAAAGAGGCGTTGCAGTCTTTCCCTCCTCAGAGGACCGAGTTGTACCGTCAGTTGGCAGCCTCCCAAGCCACGACTTTTCGTGCACCGTGATAGTTTGAAGGCGCGCGTCAGACTTATCGTAGTGGGGAATTTGCCCAAATGTCGTGCAGACGGAGTCCTCAGCCGCTCTCAGCCTCCCCCTCTCTCCAGCCATTTCGAGCTTGTCAACCAACTGATGGTGAAATTGGGCGACAGATTTTCTGCCAGCGACAGCACCCCGGTAATGCATTGAAATAGTTTGCGAACCTACTCACCCAATGCTCGTCTCTCGGAGGCTGTCAGTCCGGAACAGACCCCGCACTGGAACAACGCAAACAGACGGGTGATTTTTCGAACGGAAGCCAGGGTCAAATGAGCAGCAAGCGGTAATTCATTCTGTCACGATGTGAGCGAAAACCGTCAGCTAGAGCGCGCTCGCACAACAGCTAAACGGCAGTTTTGCAGTGACAGGGATCATCACGACCAACTGCGGAATCACGTCCTGGTGTCTGTCCACCTATTACTACACTGACACGCACACTGCCCACATAATTCGAAAATCATACATGGGCTTCCTTTTGATAGCTTTGAAGTTTATCTCCGCCTTCAATTCTCCTTCGAGTTGTTTGACATGATTAATTCTTAAGAGAACTTGAATTCGACAGCCGGTTTTGAGGGCCGAAGGGAAAAACAAGTAATTTGACAACGGCTGTGGGAGCTGACACTTGACAAGATTCCATTGTTTTAATAAAAAAGTTTCAGGTATCTTCAAAAGACGTGGCAAAGAGAAGTACCTGACTCTGGTCAAAGGATTCTCTGTTGCGTCCCGGGCTGCGCACCCCGTATTACGTCGGACGCCAGGCACAATAGTCTGACCGTCACAAGAGATTAAGCTCATCACTGCCTCATCAGGTCGTAACAGCCATAACTTGCGGCCGAGTGTGTTTCAATTGCGGCAGACTAAACATGCGACTACCTCACCCCCCCCCCTTCCCATATGCACCGTATTCCGGTGGACCAGAAGTGGGCGTGGACACAGTGACTGACAGAGCTAAAGAGCCAGTCACGACCTAACTCCTAACTCCACATGTACAGGCTTCAAGAAGCAAGCTTCGGATCTCCCATGGGCGAGTGCTAAAAGGGCCAGAGTAGGGAGACACTGCAACCTCGTTCTCGGTGCCGGGTAAGACGCACTTATCCTGCCAGCTGGCAGGCTTCCGAGCCACGACTGGTAGCGCATCGTGAGATTTAGGCGCCCCATAGTTATTGGGAGGAATGGGCGGCAATGTCATGAGGAGGGGTGTCTCAGTGTCGTCACAAGCGCCTTCCCTTGGGGATGAACGATTGAGCCACAAATGAGGCCAGCGCTGCCAGGCAAGGAGACGGTGGATGAAAACATACCATAGATTAAACATGGATGGCATAAAACAATGACAGCGTCGTTTGAACCTCGGGGTAGTGTCGGCGTGAATGTTTGCTACGCGAGGTCCGAAAGGTAAAAAAGAGGGGGGGGGGGTTTCAACAACAGCTGATGCAGGAGTGGACGTAAACGAAGATGGGGTGCGAGTGGAATACAAGGAGAAAAACCAGTCCAACGGGTGGCATCTGCACGCAAACGGCTCCCAAAAACGTCGGCGGAGAATGAGCGTTTCAGAGTGCGGGGGAAGCTGGGCCAGAGGTGGGCGCTAAGTTAAGTGGTTGCAGAAGTAGCGATGGTATTCCCGTTCACAATTGTCACCTAAAACGCAGAAATCTGTAATAGAAACAACATTCTCATGCTGACAGTCACGAGGTAAACGTGCAAGCTGGCCTCCTTGGAAAGAAAAAAAGAACCGCCCATCATAAGCTGGAACGATAGACGTCTTCCTACACCGGCAAAACAGGGCCTTACGATGCGAGCGTCGGCTAGACGCGCTTACTAGACATTGACTCGCTCAGCACTAAGGTGCTAGGTGGGGATAAATGTTTCTACATCCCCACGGCGATGTCACCGACACCTGAGGTCTACATGGTGCCCCAATCGATCTGAGTGATAAGGCCAGAGCTTCATTTATACACTGCGAACCAGTGGCACCAAAGACTGAACTCGTGCGTCTTCGTGGCGATGTTGCCAGCGTCAAAGTGACTGCGACGTACGTTCCAACACCAGACGATGACATGCAGAAAGATACCTTGTATGACGAACTCCAGACGATAAGCAAGCGCGTCCTTGTCGTTGCGAAGTGGATACGCCTGTCTATTTCGCTGCACTGAACTGGTTAGTTGCTACGGGTACCCACACTCAAAAAGGCGTTTGGCAATATAATAGTTTGATGGTAGTCACAATCAAAGTCAAATAGACAATATGCTTGTCCTAGCACATTTGGTCAGCTTAGTGATAGACACCGGTAGCAAGAATGGCTCTCCCTAAGTTTTCGTGAGGGTTCGAATACGACCATGTACTGAAAAAATGAACGATCTGTAAAGAAGTACCACGTGGAGGAATTTGAAGATTCTGTCACTGCCACAGCTTTCGTTTACCCACATCCAAGTGCTTTGCTGCATTGACTGCCGCCTCTGGGGTGTCTTCAGTGGAAACCAAGTGACTCGAACTGAGGCAAATTCTCGAAAGAGCCTCTAAGAAGGTGATACATTAAGGTGGACGTCGTCACAAGGATTGCGCGCCTGGCGAAACAATCCGACTGGCCCAAGACCTGCAAAGAGCCAATCCCGTAAGTCGTCTGCCCCAAGTTTCCGAGACAATCAAGGCAGATAGGGTCACTGAGTGATACAAACCTTCGGTGGACGGAGCATTCTGCCGAACTTCTGAATCCCTCAGGTTTGGCTCTAACAGCCGCGACCCAGCCTGGAGACCCCTCAGCACCGGAGTACGACTGCCACTGCGATCAACCATCTGTGGAAGAACCTTTGGGATAATAACGAAGCCGAAGAATAGTAAAGCAGCCGTCGAGGACTATCTTCCGGTAGAAAACTGCTGGACAGAAACGACCGATCGGACCGTATCCACAGACTGGAGTGACGCAATTACGCAGGTATGGAGGACAAGTGATGGGTCGCTGCGCAATGGCTACTGGGACATTAGTCTCCTTAACACTGCTAAGGATTTTCATAGTCATCCTCTTCAATCACCTCCGTTTTTAGCACAACGCGTGGACTAGTTTCAGTCCGGCTTTCGGCCGAGACAGGTATCTTCTAATCGGCATCTTCGCTTGTCGGGTCCTCGAAAGCTATTACTGCTACCAACAGCCCACTCTCGTCTATTTCGTGGGTCCTGCTTATGAAGTTGAATCTACCCATAATAATTCCCCGTGGTTGATCCTGTTTTGTAACAGCATACCACCAAGGTTACTTTGACCGATTCAAGCCTACACAGAACAAAAACGAAGTTCATGTGAGCATCTTCGAGGTTAGCTCGGGTATGCGTCAGGGCTGTGTTTTCTCACGAATTCTATCTAATTACGCTATAGATTGGGTTGTTCAGTGCGCGCTGGCAGACCACCCTGACATTATAGTAAGTCACCGTCCTGCATTACGAATGGGAACTACGCTAATGATGTTGCGATGTTGGCAAGCTCACTAGCAAAAATGTCGTGAACTGTATGCCAAATAGACACAAATACCGCCGAAGTTGACCTCAAAATCGACTTCTTCAAGATAAGGGCAACGACAGATAGTGACAGTGGGCAACTTCTGACACCTCGGGCCATATTCTTCACCAAATGGGCAAGATGAAATTGACCATCAGATCAACAAAGCGCGCGTGGCCTTCGTTCGACTTGGTCGGAGTCCCTGAAAACAGCGATAGATCGGTCTAAAGATCAGACTGTAAGTATATGATGCTTTTACCAAGAACGGTGCGCAAAAAAACCGTGCGATCGAAAGTATTCGATCGATGGTCTGAGCTCCATTGACCGACCACGTCTCCAACCGACGCTTGCCTGGTTGGTAAGGAACTCAGCTTGCCAATTTCGCTGACTTAGATAGTTCCATCATGTGCTGCACCATCATCGGGGATTCTATCTCATCCTAAGCCCATCGCGTCTGTCGGCGGGAGCAACTGAACACATGGATGGCTAAAGTGAAAACTGACCTCGAGTGGCTACAAAGATGGAATGCTGACGTACACAATCTTGCTCGGGCTTCTGTCGTCGACTGACTGCGATCGAAGGCGACCATTTGTGGGGGGAGTGAAATTGAGGCCCGGAAGCGGCTGAATCAGCAGTTGCGCATGCGCGATAAGTAGGGATGAGCATTAGTTCGTTGGCTGTCATATACCCAATCAACAAGAGCCGTAAGTCCTCGGTAGACTCCCAGATGACAGTGCTCGTCATTCTAGTGACGAAAAATGTCTGTAATGTTGTCCTCGACAAATCTTATGAGGGCGAGGCTGAGGGCGCCGTGGGCCGTTGTGGGCGGCTATCACGGCCAATCTGGCGTCATCGTCCAGGGTCTCAATGCCTCAAGGTCATTTTCCAGTTGCAGTAAGCCGTTCCAGACGTAACGGCCTGAAGTCACCCGACCGACTTCAGCTCGGACATACCTGCGTCCACAGTCGCAGCTGCCCATCAGGCTACCTGAACGCACCTTCCGCTCCCCCCTCCCCCTGCAACCACAACATAAGCCACTGGGACACCACCCCATCGGCAAATGCAGTACTCACCGGTTGGAGACCACTTTAGCTTAGTTCACGAGCCTACAAAAGTGGCTGCCACTGTTCCATGAAAGTTTCGAGCTCGACGACTTTAAATCACCTCGGTTTTTACACCTTCATAAGACACGCCAGAACGTTTGGTGGCAACACGTAGATCACAACGGCGAAGGGGGAAGACAGAAAGCTCCTCCTAGGCGCCATGGGGTGGTGCCGCTCAAGAGAACCCACAAATACGCGCTAAACGACGAATGGTCAAAAGTACCAACCCCTTTCGCCCAATGGTAATCACATCTGCATATTGTCTAGACGTGTGGAGGCACGACGGCCTAAAACCCAGTGAGGTGGTTGGACAAAACGCGTAGTTAAGCAGTTACAGTCACAGAATCAAGGCTCCAGAACGAAAGGGGCACGCCTGGGGTCTACAGGTGGTCACAAAACTGTCTCCTGATTACTTGAAAATCACGGTATTAGGGGAATCCACAAATCTCCAGGCTACACTATGTTGAAGTGCAGGTTAAGCTCAAGCTCCTCAGCCCCATCGAAAGAACGTTGTGCCGTTTATAGAATTGGCTGTGGCACAGTGACCGCAAGTACGTCGGGAGAACGAGATGGAGGCTGCACACATGTTTGCATAAAAATTTACTAGGGTCAGGACATAGACTTAGAATGATAAGTCTACTGGGGAGGAGCACATATTTGACTTTGGCGGTGGGTAATTCTCGGGCTAAACGTTAAGCAAATTGGAAGGATCACCCTGTAGGCCCGGTTATCGGACGCAGACATGATCAACTGGTATGTTAACTTCTTACATGTGTTTACCACGGCTTACATGATTACCTAAACCGAACGAGTAAGAAGCAGAACAACAGGAACATCCCAGCTATAATTACGACCAACAACAGCCCGAAAACAGTAAGTTCTAGAGAGGAAGTGACCCAAGCATATTTGCAGATGCGTTTCTCATGTGTTGACGTAAGTATCGACACTCAAGCTGAACCACTACCACTAATCATCATATTCTGGCAATTATGGGCGCAAAAGGAAAGCTGCACAACAATTAGTGGCGAACCCCGGCTGCCTTATAATGCTCCGAAACCTGCCATGTAGACCAAACTGCTCGAAATGCATGTAAAGGAGCGGTGTCGTTTCAGTGAATAGTTTCGAATTCTAAGAGGTGATGACGGTACCTGACCAGAGTAGGGAACGAGGATTGTGGTTGGTGTCCCTGTTGCGGCACCAACTGCAGAGGAGGTGTTCATTGTCAGAGTGGTGGGGACAGGTTTCAGCTCCTCCTCTGTCAGAGGCTTTACTTCGCCCACCTCGATAGTCCCAAGATTAGTCGCACCCGATACTGTCAGCTGTGTAGTCCGCGTAAGTGCGGTTGATGCATTAAGCATGCCGGGGGTGACTATGACAGCGCTGGCATGAGGTCCGCACATGGCTGTTGCAAGGGCTGGATCATTCAGCATGCTGGAGTCGATTTTACTTGCCTTAAAAAATGAAAAAATTATGTGTGCATAAAAAGAAAGACTATCAAATCATCCAATATCCATCGAAAAGGATAGGTAGAAGTGTCTGGCAAATTTGCCGCCATTAAGCAACACTTGGGTTTGAGAAATTACCCGCTGTTGACGACAAATATGCCAGAAATGGACATCTCAGCGCCCCAATCTTTGTCGGCAACGTTTATTGATGGTTTACTGTCAGTCGCTAAGCGTGAGTCTTAAACCTTGTGCTCCAGGGCAAACGGAATCGCCTCCTGCTCCGTCCTACACAATCAGGACAGATCGGTGAACACAAGCCTCACGTGACACCGACAAACCAGTCCTGGAGAGGTTTGGCATGCTACCGCCTTAACTACTGGAACGTACGAATGTACTTAGACGTAGGTCTTGAATCTAGGTCCCATGTGGAGAAGTAAGCTGAGGAAAGCAGATGACAACGTGGTCCTGGGTTACAAAAATTCGCCCGTTGTCTTTCTTCATAGCCGAAAGTGAAAAACTCGGAAAGTTCGCAACCGTGCAGTAAGAATTCTGACCTCTGACACAAAGCATTGGCGTTTTGTATATAAGGCTTAGAGAATGTGTATCCGACAATAGCCTGAAACGACCAAAGAGCGCCTGCAAGGTGGTAACATTTTAACAGAATAGTTCCGGATAAAATGGAATTCAGTGTATCTGAAAGTGAGCGGATCGCGGTTTATGACAAGTGGTGAACTCCTTAAGCGAACTCCGTTAAGCTAGCGAAAACAGCCAAAGTGTTCGTATACGCAAAATTTCCTCAGAAATGACGTTGGTTAAAATAATCATAACTTAAGTAGGCAGGCTGACGGCGGCAGATAAACATTAATTTTGAGAGACATACAGTGACGCAATTCAATATGCAAGGGTAGACGAATTGATTAGAAATACAAAACAATACAAAAATATACATTTTCAACAGTAGTACTCACATCCCGGAGTTTAAGCAGAAACGTCTTGAGCGGCTCAACATAATTTTCGAAACCAAGCGAACCCATGGCACACAGTATGTCCTCACCGTTTATGGTCTTTCGCTTTTCGTTTTGGCAGCGTTCAGCGGCTCTAAAAAGGCGGCATTAAATAGGCATCGGGAGATGAATTAAAATACTCGCTAGTGATGAAACTTATAAATTCGGAGACGCATTCTTGAACACACTCTTTGGCATCTTTTGCGACCTAAAAATTGACTACTATAGACTATGACTTGCCTTGCCGTTGGGAGGTATTGCACGCTTCATTATTTTTGAGACGTTGGCGATCGGAAGAAAACGATCCTAACGAAGGCTGGAGAAACATACGAAAAACAAACTTGTTCGCGAAGGGGTGACTGCTGGACAGCATCACCCGTTTGATACTCCGTTTCGTGGTCGTTCATAGTACCCTCAATCGTCTCGTAATAAGCGGCATCAGCATATGAAGGTTCGTCGTTTTGATTTTCTGACATCGAATTCATATCTATTCCGAAGCAGAACATGGAAATAACAATCATACTTCAGTATACGGAATAAACTGGGTTTTATGACCTAACGGTAACGTCAAAGAAGACCATTGACCCGGATGGCCGACCATACTGACTGTTTTTAGACACACCCGACATAATTTTATAGAATAAATAGGTCTGCAACATTTATATTCTGGCAGTATTCTTTGGTAATAGATCAAGGTGTTAATTTGCATAAAATTATCAACTTCAGATGTATCTGAACAAACCAAAGCATATCATAATGGTCCTTAGTCTTTCTACATATCAAGTGTACTACTTGGAAGTCCCCAAATTCAGTGGAACTAGGGACAAAACCACAGATATAGTCGACTTGTCGTCTTAGCAGTAAAGCAATATGGGTGCTACAATGTCATAGCATGAGCAGCGTTATGGATTATTTGCGTTACTAAAGTGTAAAAGCACCACCTATCGCCGGCGTGATTTGCATTTTCGGAATGCGGCCAGGGGGGTTAGACAGTGAATGGGTGACTACCAGCAACACGTGCCAACCGAAAGGCCTTCTCGTCCTATTGAAATTTTGGTCGTCCTATTGCTAATTCCGACGTTTTTATAGCCTAAGCCGACACCAATTTTACTTTCTACAACGTTATCAACATCGTGTTTCGGCTGTGCAAGACATGATCATATATCGTAAAGTACGGGAGTCATTTAACTGGAGGACACAAATGAAACATCTTGAGCCAACAATAATTTGATTTCAG